CAGTATAATAGTTACAGGATGGGCAGTAGCCAAACCTACTATTAAGGCTGCCTAATGCTTTCTATTATAAAGCAGTTTTCAGGTGCCTATAATTTTTGAAATTTCAGCTTCAATGACTGAAATGCACCATGTGTGGTGTCTGCATGAAGCTGTATTTTATAAATTTGATCCAAAAAGGTTATGCTATTTTTGAGCATGAGATCAATGAATAATCAGTACTTTGGGTTAATTTTTTTTTAAATTAACTTTTGAACAGATCTAGCACTGCAGGTGTTTGGCACAGAGACCTGGAATGAGAAGGGTAGCACTGGGGTCAAAGAGGTGCCTTTTTCTCCTCCAACAACCTCTCTCTCAGTTTGACCAAGTTATAAGCAATGAAAAATTGCTATTTGTGCATGCATCCCAGGCTGACACACTGATAGGAGAGTAACAATAGGAGAGGTGAATACCTTCTGGAAGCAGAACTTCTCTGTCAGCTCCTCCCTTGCAGCCCCAAAGTCCATAGCTTCCTCTCTGTGGTAGCACTGGGCTTTCAGAAAGTCTCTGATGAAGCTCCACACCAAATGCTCTTAAGTAATGTAGGTAGTCATGGGATAAAAATGAAGGTCTCTCATGGATCAATAAGTGGTTCAAAGTCAGAAAACAAAGGATAGGAAAAAATGGTCACTTTGCACAAGGGAGAGAAGTAAACAGAGGGATGTAACAGGGTGCCCATCTCACAGAAGGCACATTGTTAGGACAATTAATCTGCTAGGCTGCACCTGCATGAGAGCCAGATGGGCAAAGGCAGGCTGAGCTTGTACAAAGGCAGCAAGCTGAGAACAGCAGTGTGCTGCAGGACAGTAGTAATTGACAACTTCTGTGAATTCAATACAGATTTCAAAAAGCCATTTTGAAAAATCAATGAGTAAAGGTACAGGAACCACAGTTAAGTGCAAAAAAAATCATTCAAGGTACTAGAAGAATAAAGAATATTAGGCATGTCAGGAAAGGAGAACTGGCATTAACACAATGGACAAGGGGATTAGGTGGCATACAATTTGCTCTCTGTCCATTATGCTGTTAGGTGGGTTACTTAAGAGCATGCTGAAGTTTAACAGAGTAGAATTAGGAAGAAACAAGGAGGAAACATAGCTAGAGAAAGAATAAAGAAGATACAACTGTCTGAGGAGAGATGATGAATCTATGTTCATGAAACTCACATTAACAGTGTTGCTCTTTCTCCCTCTCTAGCAATCAGACCAAATAAAGAGGGTTATGAGTTTCATATTGCCTCTAAGGGTACATCTACCCATCAATTAAACACCCACAGCCAGCCCACAGCTGACTTGGACCAGGAGGGTGGTAAAACTGTTTTGTAGATGGCCTTAGGTTGGAGTCTAAGATCTGGGACCCTGCAGGGCTGTAACCAGGGCAGGGCAAGTGGGGCGGCTGCATCATAATCAGGGGCACATAGTCTCAATAAGTAAAAATAATAAGCTTCAGAAGTAAAGAGCGCCACATGTGCTAGCCTAAGGAGAGGGGGCACATAATTAATATTTTGCCCTGGGCACAAAAATAACTAGTTACGGTGCCAGGATCTAGGGAGTGTAGCATTCCCTGGTGTACAATCTGGACTGTTGAACAACTGTATCCCCTCAGTTCTTGGCTGTGCAAGCAGCCACTCCGGATCTGCTCTTACCATAGCAATGGGGGAATGCTGTCACCCCGGTGATGGGGTGGGGAAGGAGAGGTGCTATCACCATGGCGACAGGGGAATGCTGTTACCCTGGTGATGGGGTGGGGAAGGAGAGGTGCTATCACCATGGCGACAGGGGAATGCTGTTACCCTGGTGATGGGGTGGGGAAGGAGAGGTGCTATCACCATGGCGACAGGGGAATGCTGTTACCCTGGTGATGGGGTGGGGAAGGAGAGGTGCTATCACCATGGCGACAGGGGAATGCTGTTACCCTGGTGATGGGGTGGGGAAGGAGAGGTGCTATCACCATGGTGACAGGGGAATGCTGTTACCCTGGTGATGGGGTGGGGAAGGAGAGGTGCTATCACCATGGTGACAGGGGAATGCTGTTACCCTGGTGATGGGGTGGGGAAGGAGAGGTGCTATCACCATGGTGACAGGGGAATGCTGTTACCCTGGTGATGGGGTGGGGAAGGAGAGGTGCTATCACCATGGCGACGGGGGAATGCCGTCACTCTAGTAACGAGGCGGAGGGCCATGGCTGGGCCCCAGGGCCCGCAGGCGGCAAGCGGAGCAGGCAGTCTCCGTACGGCGCAGGCGGAGGCGGGCCACTCTCTGCGCAGCCCCCGAGACGCCGAGGAAGGGCGGGACAAGCCGGCTCTGGCCCCCCCGCGCGCGC